TTTAACAAGATAAATATTACGAATGAAAAATTCTTTATTCTCTTCTAATTGCTTTCATATGATACGAATCTGGCAAATATATTTTATTAATTCCATTTCATCATCTCTTTGTCTTTTTTTTACTTTACTCCTTTACATTCACAATCGTAGCAGCAACAGGATTGCGCTCGCATTTTAAGCTTGACTTTACCGATGTCTGTCGCCATTACTTCGGTCGAACCGGGGCTCTGATCTCTCTTATCTTCTCTCTGATCTCAATCTTCGGTGCTCTTATCGTCTACTATATTCTCCTCACCAGCTTTCTCTACCACTCCGGCGAGTTCATCTACGGTGGGACTTCTGCACATTCACGTTTCTGAGGCAGTTTCTTGGATAATTTAGCCATACCAAAGGCCAAGGTCCTTGCACAACATTATAGCCCACTTCAAATTGACGTATCATCTTGCTCACTCCGTCGTATATTTTTTTTAAATTTATCATTAGGTCTAGCATATGAACATTAAATGGACACCAGCGAAGAACTCCCAATATATCTTAACCATATTAAGATACGTAATGGGGTTTATTTCCACCTGAATAATATCAGACACATTTGTGCATTACATTGACTTTATTACGCCTAGTAATGAATTATAAAAGCATCACCCAAAGTAGTGAGTATCAACAATAAAAGAGCTTCATCAGTTAAAATCACTTTAGGTCTAGACTGAATAAGTTTCTGGAATATTTTGTAACCCAAAGCACACGCTCTTCCTGATAGTAGCAATCTGTCTGGCAGAGTAATTGTTGGGCTCAAAAGGATGCGATTCTTCTGCGATATCAACCTCTTTCTTGTGCTAACAAGATAATTCAGCTAATAGAGCATTTCTGTATATTACTGGTTCTGCAAGCTACAGTTCTGATAAAGCGTGTGTAGAGGCTTCGATGTGTGAGCAAACCATGCGGCATACATAACAAATTTTGCTATGCCTAAATTGACACTTGGATAAATTCTAGTTTATACAGGCAATAGCCCGTAAATAAATTTTGCCTCATGATTATCTGGTAATCATTCTTTTATCAGTTTAAAATAGCAAGATTTTGTACCAGTGATTTAGCGCTTCTGGATTCAATAGCAATCAATTGACAATTAAGTTTCGTCATTCTTATTTGCTGGTGTTATATGGATTGATAATTGATTTATCAAAGATAAATGAAAAATCACACTGGCCATAGCAATCGTTTTGATATAACTTGTTTATCCTCCAAATTAAACTTGGTTTCGATTGTATCAGAGAGAATCGGGCTCAAGCCCGGAGGCCTATATCCTACAGTCTATACCATATTGAGTTAGACTGTGTGCATGACTTATTTTTTCTTTTGAGTAGGTTTTCGATACTTATAGCAAGATGTGGATGAGAATGTTTTTAAGAAATGGACTATTGGAGCGGAATTATCGTTAAATAATATTAAAATTACCACTTTTTTACCTCCAATTTTCGCCATTATATTACAACTAGAATATGATAGTATATCGTAGAGTGGAAAAGACATCTTTTTTTCTTAGAAAAATTCCAAATTTAAGGGTGGGCTGATGATGGAAAACGTTTCTGATTTGTTATTTACTATAATTGGGACAGTTTATCTTTTCATAAAGCTGCTGGGTAAAATAGTTTATGTCTTTTTTAATTCAGTTACATTAGAATATTTTTTAAATTAAGAAAACCGTGTAGCCTCAGCCAATCTAAGTTCAGATATTTGGAGCGAATAGGCATAGCAGGCAATTAATAGTCCGAAAGCTGGCAGGTTGATGATGAATCAAGATGAATACTTTAATTTTTCAACGAATTCTCTGGTACTCCTTATCTGAGAGTACTATATTCTAAGTTATTTTACAACATTTATTTTGTTTTCCCTTCCGCTCTTTTTCTTCAGACCAAATTTTCCATGTAAACCACAGTGATGAGGCCGGGATAACAATATTCGACAAGTTTTATAATGATGGTAGGTCAATTCTCAACTAGATAATTTCCCTTTATGTGTCGGCTTAGCAGTTTGCACACCACTTCTTTATGCATTCAAGCTTAAACGCGCCACATATAAAGATGCTCTCTATCTTCTTCTCAGGATCTATAATAAATTGATACCGAGAATGGCTGTCCGAAGAAATATCGATACTGGAAAATCTATAAGCTTGGTGACCAAGCAAAAGACAAAACCAGGAAAACCAAAATTTTCTAGCTCCTTATCTCCATCTTTCTATGTTAACATGCCAATGTCTTATACATACAAACTTTCGTCTTGTTAACTAAATGGTTTTCTTATTCATCCCTTCACTAGTTATATAATCACTAGGTTAGATCTTTGCTAAAATATTTATTCTTATTCCATCTAACGAATACATTTCTTCCGCCAACGATTCTGATATATCAAATAGTCTTTCCTTCCCCGCATTTGATTGTAATGCTAATTAATATGATTACCACTGAAGAATGAAGAGTTAGCTATCATATGGTCTAAATTTCTAATAAAGTATAACCTTTTGGCTATTGACTTTTGATCTGTGATGACTCGAGACCAACTCTCAGACAATTAGACGGCTGCTCTGAATTATTTTTATTCCATTTTTTCTGGGGTTGATTTCCTCGATGCCTTGTTAATAAAGGGAAGTTTTTTGCATCGGTTATGCCCTGCGATTATACTGATTGCATAATGCTAGCCTCCATCGTCACTCCGCTTGAAATGGAACAGTTGGTACATTCGTAGGATAAACAAGAATCTAACATTATGAATGAAATTTATTTTGATCTGCCCTAATGGGTTGAAATAAGAAAAGCCTACTTGGATAAAAGAGGAATCCGGAGCTCCATCAGCTAAGGACACTTGTTCGTCTTTCTGACAAATTGCGAGGGAGGTGACAAGGATCCTTGCATACTGCATTTTGAAGACAACGAGTGTCCGGAAGCCATAATGGCATCGTCTTGAGGGCAACATTTTTCATTAAATATACTTTCGGCTTTTGGGATTATTTTTCAAATGCTCTTTTTTTTGCTCTAGGATATATGTTTATTTGGACACTGTATTCACAGGAATGCTGCACCGAATCAGCACTTTTTACTGGCACTTTTCGCATTCCATATTTTTGCAAATTAATTACTCCTCCTTGGCCTTCTTTTAGCACTTGGACAACTTTTATCTAATATGAGATGTATTTCCCAATTTCGTTTAAGTTGATGAAGGACTGGTAGAAGAAGAATTTTCCCACAATGATATAAGTTGAGCTGACGTTTCCATTAAATTTCACATAGCCTTGCTCTCCCAAAAGTTGTTCTCATCCCGGCTGGAGTGGAATGCAGTTTCGATCTCGCATCGGTCTTATAAACACCCTCAGCGGGAGTCGAACCGCGACAGTACAGGATGGGAGCTTGACACGCTAACCACTCCGATACACTGCCACGAGCGCCTTTTGGGTCACAGGGTAAATGTGAAATTTCGAGAAAGGCCAGGCCTTTTTGCCATATGATATTATTTTGGTGTAATTGTCGATGAAGCAAACGTATATCTGCTATAACAATCGACTACTATACTTTATTTTTCG